CCCCAAAACCCCAAAACCCCAAAACCCCAAAACCCCAAAACCCCATTAGAGATTTAAAATATTGAACCTTTAGATTCCGATAATATTGCTAAGCGTGCATTACGCTTTAGATGTTACTTTCTTATTCTTTCCTGATTTAGTTTTTCCTGCCTTGGCAGCTATTGCTATTTTTCTAAGTTTTGTTGGGTACACTTTTGGGTTCTTTTTTAATGCTTTTGAACAAATGTTTTTATCTACTTCCTTACCATTACTTTCACACTTCAAAATTTTAGGCTTGAATGAAGAAAATAGCTTTGGTAATGTTTCTTCAGATTTTCCTTCGACTTCGACTACAGCACCATAATCACAAGCAGGGTCAATGTTGATATCTATTGTCAGGATATTTTTCAGCAAGCAGTTGGAGACTAGTCTACTTGCCATATTTGTAGCTAATGCTGTTCCCACAATAATTAATGCATCGACATCGGCTGTTATGATGTTTTGTACAGTTTCTGCTTGATGAAGCTCTTGAGTGTATCATTCATCAAACCACAACACATGAGGCCTCATTATGCTCTTGCATTCTTCACATTTTGGTATCTGGTCTTCCAGACTCAGCCTTAATTTTACACAAAATGCTTACTCTTTGTCAGGAACCTGCACTGGCTTTAATGCTTTTGAGCACTCTTGGAAACACCTCGAGTAACTCAGGTTGCCATGGATTTCGTACACAGAGTCTGTGAATCCGAACCCAGGTTCTCCTTCGCTTGTCACTGTAGGCTTTAAGATCTTTGACTCTTGAATCAGCCTGGCATGCAGGTCGTCAATGTTCTGAGTGACCAAGTGGCATTGCTTTCCATTGAGCTTGCAGTGTTCTTGGAACTGAACAATGGCTTTGTGACCAGCGTTGGGCTCAGCATTCTTGCACAAATCGTAGAAATCGTGGGTCCACTGCCACTTCACTTCAGGATGTACTTTGAAGAACTTCAGAGTGGCGAGTTCTTCAGGGGTCTCACAGTATTTGTATTTCTTGGTCCAGAGTCCGTCATTGCCTCTGAAAGTGGGGATACCGCTGGCAGCAGAGAGACCAGCACCAGTAAGAATGACAATATTGCGTTTGTCTTTGAGCAGTTCACTGGCATCTTCAGGAGACATCTTCTTTGGTTCATATTCTGGTTTCTTAAATACCCCTCCAACTGATTCTAAATTAATCAGAATTCCTTCAATCTATAACCTACTTCCGATACTTGATCCAATATTAGTGGCTAAAGCGCTGAGAGTTTCAGAAAATTTATCCTGAAAATCTTGCCATTCTATAAGATCAATCACAAAACCCATACTTTTCTCAAACTCATCGCTTGCCTTTTCTGTCTCTCTTAGCTTTGCTCTTGTTTTCTCAGAATTTTCTAATGTTTCTTGACATTTATTTCCTATAAATTAAATAAAATCTTCTCATGAAGATTAAAACTTCAGAAATAGTAACAAAGAAGGTTTTTAGTATATTACCTTGTCTCAGCTACACTTCTGAGCACTTCTTCTTTCCATATCTCTTTCTCCATGGCTGTCATATCGTCTGGAGATTTCTTCATGATGCTTGCCAGTTCTTCCTCCGAAGGTTTGTATTTTTCCATTATAAGTTCAGCATTAATTATCTTAAATGGGGTTTTGGGGTTTTGGGGTTTTGGGGTTTTGGGG